ACAGGGTTTCTCTGTGTAGCTTTGCGCCTTTCCTGGAACTCACTTTGTAGACCAGGCTGGCCTCAAACTCACAGAGATCCACCTGCCTCTGCCTCCCAAGTGCTGGGATTAAAGGTGTGCATCACCACTGCCCGGCTTACAGTCTTAAGGATGACAGTCCATCATGGTTGCAGGAATATGAGGTGGTTGGTCATGCTGCATTCTCCATCAGGATTTACCCCAGATAGGGCACAAATTGAGAAAACCGTTTAGCCCAAGTCTAACTTTGTAAGCCAGTGATTTTATAGGCAACACTTAGAAGAATATGGGTGAAACAGCAGCAACATCGCCAAAAAGCCTGCCCCAGTGTAGGAAATGGTCGTGAAGGCTGCAGCCCTGGAGTCCTGCCCTGGAGATGGCCCAGCCAGCCAGAGTCTCCTCTCTTGAGCATTGCTGCTTTTATAATTTTGAAGAGTAGGCATGTGAGTCTTCTGTTTCCCAGGCCTTGGAAGTGTCATGCACTTTCTGGGTTCTCTGAGCTTCTTTCTTCCCTTCTTATCTCTTTGCTCAGCCCTGGATTCTCACCAGTGGCTGGTAACACCTACATTCAGGCTTATCTCCGCAAGTTACCTCCCTGTGAACACCCTCACAGACACCCGGAGGTGTGTCTCCTAGGTGGTCCTAAATCCAGGCAGTTGACAGTGCTGATTAATCACCACAATGCTGCATTCGGTATCTTGGTATCTTCCTACGAGCCACCTGGGTGGGGAAATCAACACTGGTTTTCTTAATGCAAACTGTGGTGGGTACAGGGCCGCTGTTCCCTCATGAAGCTTTTTGGTAAATCAAAAAAATGTCTTCTGTAGGACGACTCAAGGCTGTAAGTGTCTGGAATGGCAAGAAGATGGTCAGTTAGTTGTGAATTTAAAAAGAATCTCTTCTGCCTTAAAGGATAGAGCCCTACACCAGGAGCACAGTCTAGTGAACAGAACAAAGAATTTGTGTCTTTATTTTCCACCCGGGATGGTTTCTTATGCAGTGAATAATCCGCATATGAATTATAGCAGTCTTAGGTAAGGAAGCCCGAACACCTAGACATTTCATTCGATTAGAATCGGAGTGTCTGGCACTTGGCTGTCCTGCCTCACCTTGCTACTCAATACATCTCCAGTGTGTGTGGGCAATGCAAATATGGCCCCAGCACCCCACCCCATGTCCTCATAAGGAGAAAATGGTCTCTAGAACCTGTGGAGAGCTCTCTTGCTGCTGGGAAAAGCTGACCACCGTGAAGCGTATTTCCTCAGACTTAAGAAGTCGGACTTCAGAAAGAAGGAAAAGATATCCCTCTACAGCATGGGACTTAGAAATAACATGATGCGAGAGAACTGGAAGTCTGTCAAATGCAACTCTTAAAATGGTTTTGCTTTTTTAAAAAAGTTTTTTCTTGTTATGAAAGCAATCTGAACTAATTGCAAGAAAGTGTAGAAAATAGAAATGAGTCCAAAGAAGAAAGAAGTCACTTGAAAATTGACTACTCAGAAATAACTGCTAGCCATTCTCTGTTTGTCCTGTCCCAAGCTTGCTATGCTTATGGAGCTACTTAGAATACATTTACACCTGGGACTGTTTTGTAAACTGCATTTTAATGTAACGGTAGTCTGTTAATATTTTCCGTGTAATTAACTACTCCTCTACCTTGGTATTTTGACAGTTGCATAGTAATTTGTTAATTTATCTAATAATACCATTATAATTAAATAAATCTTTATTTTGGAATTTACATTATTCTTGTTAAAATGTTATGCATGGGGTTTGAAGAATTGTGTGTGTGTGTGTGTGTGTGTGTGTGTGTGTGTGTGTGTGTGTGTTGCAGGGAATTGAACCTAGGGCCTCATACATGCTAGCCAAGTACTCCATCATTGAATTATATCCTTAGTAGCCTTATTTATTTATTTGTTTATTTTTGTGTATGTATGCTGGTGGGAGCCCATGTGTGCACATGCATGTGCAAGTCAGAGGTTAATGTCAGGTGTCTTTTTCAATAACTCTCTACTTTATACTTTGAGGCAGGGTCTCTCAGCTGCACCTGGAGTTTGCCAATTCTGTTACTCTGACTAGCCAGCTTGTTGGGGTGGTATCTCCTGTCTCAGCTTCTCAAGTGCTGGGATGACAAGTGGACGACCGTTCCTGCTGAACAGTTGCGTGGGTGCTGGGGACCCAAACTCCGATTTTCATGCCTGGGTGGCAAGCATATTACCCAGCACTCCCTTTGTCTCAGTGTATTTTCTACTGCTATGAAGAGACGCCATGACCATGGCAACTCTTATACAGGGAAACATTTAACTGGGGCTGGCTTCTATTTTCAAAGCTTTAGTCCATTTTCATCACGGTGGGAAGCGCGGTGGCAGGCAGGCAGACATGGTGCTGGAGAAGGAGCTGAGAGTGCTACATCTGGATTGGCAAGCAGCAAGAAGAGCGAGACACGGCTTGGCTTGATCATTTGAAACACCAAACCCCACCCCAGAACAGTGATACAGTTCTTCCAGTAAGGCCACACTTCCTAATAGTGCCCCTCTCTGGTGACCAAGCATTCAAATCCATGAGCCTATGGGGGCTATTGTTATCCAAACGGCCACACCCTCTCTTGTTTTTTATTTTGCGACAGAATCGTCTTGCTGAATTGTCCAGGCTGGCTTTTGTCTTGTGGTCCTCCTGCTTCAATCCCCCTAGTAACTAAAATGACAGGCCTAAGGGAACAACTGATGTACAGTTTTTGAATGTTAGTTTGCCACATGCATCAAGATTCTCTGGAGAAACAGAACCTATAAGATATAAATACAGAAGAAGAGATTTATTATAGGAATTGGCACATGTGGTTACAGAGGCTGAGCATCCCATGGGATGCCATAGTCAAGTTGAAGAACCAGGAATGTTATTGGTATAGTTTGTTTTTTGAGTCCCAAGGTCTGAGATCTGGGGAATGGGGAAGGTGGGGGCTTCTGTTGTATAGTCTGGAACGTGAAGGGCTGAGACTCAGGAGTCAGGAGTTCTAGTTTTCAAGGGCCAAAGCAGGTGTATGCTCGAGTTCAAGAGGAGACAGCGCATCCACCCTTCCTCTGATTTTTGTTCCTTCAGGCCAGCAGAAGGGGATGGAGCCTGTTCACACTGCTAAGTGTGGCTCTGCTTTATTCCTTCTGGGTCAAACATGGAGCTCTTCTGGAAACAACCATACTCAGAAACCTTGCTTTACCAGCTTTATGGGCATCCCTTGACTTTGTTGAATTGACACAGAATTAACTAGCATACACTTTCCTAATTAAAGTACCACTTCCAGCTTACACCAGCAATGGCTGAGAATTAGAGTTCCTGGAAGCCCCAGCACTATGGGTGGGAAACTGCTGAGATGTAGCCATTCTTCAACTTAGGGAGACCTGAGATTTAAGACCTTGGGCAGGTTGAACCTTGGAAATGGGAACTCCCCAAAAGCTGAATCTGTGAGACGGCTACCACACATGAAGAGTTCTAATTTTTTTTTTTTTGTCTCCCCAGGGGCTGAAGTCAACCATGAATATATGGCTTTCCTCTTCTCATCACCAGACCAGAGACAAAGATGTTCCAGGCCGCGTTTATTCTCTGTGCACACCTGGCTGCCCAGCAATGTTGCATGCTCAGTGGGAGGGAAGGATGGAGCGGGGTGGGAGTAGGGGGGTTAGGGGGTGGACTTGCCTTTGTAGAAGAACAAAAGGAGCTGGAGGGATGCAACCATTTCCCTCCCTGGGATTGCTGGGTGGTATCCAATGCTTTGCCAAATGAGGAGGATGCGGGGTTCTTTTCTTAGAAATCTCTTTCTTCTTTTTGGGTAATAAAGTTGAGTCTTTTTTTTAAAATCATAAATTATTGCGTGCTCACTAATAAAAGCATGGCAGGTACAGGAGTATGATGTCACCGTGGTCCCACCCCGTCAGGACAAATGTTGGCCCTATCTTTCCAGGCATGTGTGAGGGAGCATTTGTTTATAGCTGTCCCTTGTAGCTGTCTAAATTATTGTATACTCCCTCCACGTTTTCCTTGCAACTGCAGAGTTTCAATCATTATTTTTTGATGATTTAGTTTTTAGTTGTGTGGATGACCCAACACATACTATCTAATATCACTTGCTATTTTCATTATGGTTTCCATTTTGCAGGTGAGGAAACTGATGCCCATAGGTGTTACCAGACTTGCCCAACATCACAAGATAGGTAACAAATGCAACTAGCACTTCATCCATTCCATCCATTATTCAGTCATCAAACATTTATAGAGCATAAGGCCTTTGGGAGGCAAGCACATGCTTCCTGCTCATGTAATGTTTATAACTCAATGGATAGTGTAGTCTTGTAGAAGTGTTTACCGTGCTTTGGTACCATCAGAGTCCAAAGAGGAGGCACCTAGCCAGCCTGAGGCCCACAACATGGAGGAGGTAACAATGAAGCTCAGACTTTCTGGAAGAGTGGAATTGGGCAGGGAAGTAAATGGTGAGAGGTGGGTAGAGAGGGCAGATCAGGGAAAGGTCCAGAGAGATAAAGAGACAGGTAGTGTTTTAGGGACCGGAGGAGGAGACAATTCTGTTTTGTGGGTGGAGATTATCTCCTAATTAGCTTCTATTTTGACCTTACTCTAAAAGCAGTGGGTGGACAAGAGATTTACAAAACTTGTTAGGATTTTGGAAGGAACCCCGATGGCCATGTAGGATGGACTAGGGGACTGGATCTATGGGAACGAGTCGGGTCAGGATTATGATAAGTAATGCTGGGGCCCTGCACTGACTGATGCAGAGCAGGTGGGGTGGAAGAGGAGGCATTGATTTAAGTTGTCAGAGACAGAAAACAGAGGAGTCTGTGGAGTCCATGCAGAGGTCAGGGCCCTGTGAATGACCTCTGAGGTTGGGCTACCATGAAGACAGGGGATGTGAGTTCTGTCTTGGAGTTCCTTCATGGATTTGTTTTGAGGGGCCTATGAGACCGAGAGGGTACTGTGCAGAAAGAGGTGGGGAGTCTAAATAGAGGTAGATTAGGAGCCATGGGGTGGGGGGTGGGTGGGAGACTAGAAGTGATGCTCGAAGCCTGCAGGAAGATGAGTCCTAACCAGGAAAGGTGCAGAATGGTGCTATCAACTACGGCCAGTAGTGAACCGTTTCATGAGTCCTGAGACACCCATAAACTGCCATCAGGACATGAACAAACAGAGAGAAGTTTATTAAGTTTAAATAATTTAAACTTTGAAGTTAAATAATTTTCTTGGAGTTATAGGTACCCTGAAGGTCACCCCTCAGGATATGGAGTGGAAAATGAAGTTGGAAACACAGTTCTGAAGGACCTCCATATTTGGGGGGAATGTGGGAAAACGGAAAAGGAGTGCTTAAGGGGGAAGGAAGACGGAGAGAGCAAGGAAATCCTGTTCAAGAGTTCAAGGCTAGCATGGGCTACCTGACTCCCCTCCCCCATGTCTCTACAAAACGAAAAGAGAACAGGGAGGCCAAAAAGGCCCCGGGGAAGAAACATCTGTGGTAAGTGGTGTCGGCATTAAGCTTAAGTTCAAGACAGAGGCTTCCAGTGAAAGTGGAGCCCCATAGACTGAGACCAAGACCGTGGCAGTTATGGTTTCAGTTAACGAACACGCGTTTCTTCCTGACTCCCTCAGAATCTCAGAGTATCAGGGGGAGAGCATGCTTCCATCTCAGAGAGCCTCTCTTTATGTCCTACAAGGCCCATTTTCAGCACATTGGCTACTGACGAGGAACTAGCCAGCAACTGGCACGCCAAAGGTGCGGGTCAGCCACTGTTCTCAGCATTGACGCTGCATCTGCGCATGCATTCTGCTAGGCGGCTTTGTTACCCCTTCCACAGAAGGGCGAGCAGAGCCTGCCCCTCCTTCCTGACTCTGCACAAAGCAATGTGGCTGCTTTGGCTGGGTGATGCAAGCCGGGCTGGCCATGCCTCATGCACTCGGTCTTGCCCTTTGGAGATTATGTCACCGCCTTGAGAAAATCCTCCTGGCTGGCTCCCTGGTCCCATGAGGGATGTGTGAAGCAGAGGCAGCTCATGGCTGACCTTCAGACTCACAGTGAAAGAAAGCAATGCTTGTTATTGTTTGTCACCGAGACTTATCAGGCTTTTGTTTCAGAACGACTGGGTTGTAAAATGTTCTCTCAGTAAAGACATAGCTCAGCCATTGTTCCCTGCCAGAGACTCAACTTCTAGGACCTAATGTGGTCCTGCAGAAAAGGGGAAGCAGTTCCAGATGCAACTTGCAGTCCAAAGTCCAAGGCCCCCTTGGAGTCCCACTCTGTGCAACCTGGCCCCCAGGTGTGCACCTGGTTGCTCACATCTGTACCCAGTCCTGAACAGTGTCCATCCTAAGTGCACCGATTAGATCATTCACTGTACACTCTCCCTCTCCACCCACTTTCTCTTCCAGAACAGGATCTGATGTATCCAAGGCTGACCTCAAAATCACTATGTAGCCAATGACACTGAACACCAGATCCTCCTTTCCCTGCCTCCCAAGCACTGGGAGTACAGGTATGCACCATCATGTCCAGTTTATCTGCTACTCGGAGACTAGACCCAAGGCTTCTGCATGCCGGGCAAGCACTCTCCCAGCTGAGCTGTGTCCCCAGCTCTCATCTTGTCTTGTTTATTAGACTGTATTTAGATACGGCTTGTGTGTCTGTCACCACTCCCTTCCCACAAGGGTCTCATGCTAAAATTGTTCTCCAGTGTGGTGGCATTAAGAGGTAGTGGGACCTTACGGAGATGGAGTCTAGTTCAGGGAGCCCTTTGGGTCATGTCTTCAGAGGAACTAGAGTGGTTCCTGTGTGTGTGTGTGTGTGGCCCATGTCTATCTCTGGAATCTTATCTTGCTTTATAATTTAACTTCTCTTTTTTTGAGACAGTCTCACCGTGTAGCCTTGGCTGGCTTGAAACTCATCCTGTAGATCACTGAACTTGTTGAAATGTGCCAGCCTCTGCTCTTGAGTACTGGGATTAGAGGCCTGTACCACCACACACAGAACTTTTTTTTTTTTCTTTATAAAGTTTTTAGCCTTGGGTATTCCATTATAGTAATAGAAAAAAGACTAATACAGTCTACATTCCAGTTCTTTAAGAGCAAACTTCTCTCTTCGAAAGAAAACCACTCTTTTCACGTAAACACACTCATGGTAGGGCCTGTGTAGTTGGTGATCTCCTGATGGTAAACAGGTTGTTATTCTAGATACTGCTGCGATGAGGTCTTTGTGAATAAATCCTGGTTTCCATTTTTAAAGAACTGCTTATATTTTTTGATTACAAAAGCAATGCATGCTTGTTTTAACAAATTAAAATATCAAATTGCATTTAAAATTTAAATTAATTGACAAGCACTCGGCTTACGCGTCTCCTATGGAGCAGTGGTTCTGTGCTGAGCCCTGAGCAGGCGGCTCCAGGGACACCGGTGTGGCAGGTGGAGTGAGGGCTGGTACTCTCCAGTTCCGGGTGGCTAAGGCTCCTGCTGGGAACACTGAAATGGCCTCCTGTTGGGGCTCCCTCCCCCCAAGTCTAAGCACCTCTGCTTGATTAATTATTTGAGGCCTGATTAATTAAAACATCTCTGATCCCATTTCTTGGTGCTCTAAGCCCTTCAGTGGCTCCCTATTGCCTTACTGAATCACTTTACATCGCCGTTAGGGTAACGAACTGTACTGTGAAAGAGCTTTTCCAGTGCTTTCACTTTCTTCTTCCTATGGACCCAGCACCCCTTCCCTGGCTCCCCTCCAGGCCCAGTGCTCATTCTCTGGCCTTTCTTGTGCATTTCCTTTCCTCTACCCCACAAGTCCTCACCCGGACCCATTTCTGTGAGCCTTTCAGAGTTCCCTTCTCCGTGAACCCTTTTCCCAATTCCTTCATCTACGGCCAATTTTGTTTTTCTCCAAAGGCGACGGCACCATTGCTTCTGTGCACGATGGTGCCCCCCTCTCAGCCTTGTTGAGATTTGGGGGGTGGGGAATTCCTTACCTCGTTTAACAGCATCTGGTTTATTCCTATACACTGGATACCCACCCTGCCTTTTCACTTCACTGTGACAGCAATCAAGGTCTGCAGACACTGGCCAAAGTCAGCTGGGAGCCACACTCGTCCCTGGTTAAAGGACACTGGCCCAAAGTGACATTTATGCAACAAGTCCTCTGACACATTTGAAGCTTGTGTCTTACTTTAGAGGTCACAGCCTGGCACCCAAGGGCCTTCAATCATCCAGACCTTCCTTTACGCCTCGCCCCTTCCACTCCATGCCCCTCCCTTCTACCTTCAGCTTTTGTCTCATCTAGGTCTCCAGGATCTGGGTAGTTCAGCCTCTTGCTGGAGCCTGTTCCAACCTACCTCCCCTTTCCCTGGGCCGAATAGACCACTCTGCTCCTTAATTTCCTGCGGCACTCTGTACTGCCCTTGACTACAGCTCTCCGAACTCTGTGTGCCTTGTTGGAAAGAGGCCTGCAGCCTCTGTCTTCTGAGGGAGAAGCCCAGTAGGGACCTTGCTGAGGCCTCCTGAGAGGTGCCAGAGCCCTGTTCCAGGATCAGGGGGTTGTGATGGTTATTCTTGCGGGTCAACTTGACTTTATTTGGAATTGACTAAAATCCAAAAATGGAGGGCACGCTTGTGAAGGATTTTTTTTTTCCTTCTTAATTTGAAGTAGGGAGATCCATTTCTAATCT